GAGGGTCTGACCCGAACCTGAGTCAACAAGCCCAGAGTCTCCCCATGATGCTCTGTTCCTCACTGTCACACCTGTGTCAGGGAGAGTTCTTTCCGGACCCTATGCAGACGACACGATCCAGGGTAGAGTGAGGAAACACTGGGGAAAAAAGGCATGCGGGATACGGGGATGAGAACGGGGGGGTCCATGGAGTGCTGGTGGTCGGGGGGTGTGTGGCCGAGGCAAATGATCCAGGAAGGAGTCAAACGGGAAATCCAAAATGGCGCAAAAAGTCCAAGGCCAGGCGATCCATCCGAGACACACAATTAAAATCCAGGACCGGGTCGGAACCAGCAGGGGGAACGGGAACGGGAACGGGAACAAGAACAGAAGCTAAAACCATAACGGAGCCAGGCGCATCCAGGTCCCGGGCTCGCATGATGCGGCAACCAATGCAGAGCCCGGATTAGCGTCTCCGTCTGGCCTTTAAGGGGGAGCTGAAAAGGGGCTGGAACAGGGAGCAGGTGCGGGGGATGAATAACAAACAGGGAAGGGCTGGAGCTCCCTTAAGAGGAAGGGTTTGCGACCGTGACAACCTGGTGATGAGGGTCTGACCCGAACCTGAGTCAACAAATCCAGAGTCTCCCCGTGATGCTCTGTTCCTCACTGTCACACCTAACAAGGAGTGTAACTTCACCTCTGAGTAGACACAGGACCATTTACTCCCTGAACTCTTATATACTGTAGGGATCCCTGGCTTCACACAAGTGATGCCAGTCCCCTAATAACCCTGTGGAAATGCAGCTTTTTCCCATTCCTGGTGTGACTCTACACTGCCCTCTGGTGGTTTAACCCAATTTCGGCACTCCAGCTGCAGTTGCTCTGTTACAGATACGGGGACAATTAGTATGATACACGGTAAGGTCAGTTAATTACAAGTACAATCAATCTGATATAGCCAGATTCAGTATGATCGGTGTGATACAGGTAAGATCAGTATGACAAAATTGAATTGCCCCCCTTGGGATGAATAAAGTATTTTGAATTGAATTGAATTGCGATCTTGAATTTCACTATCTAAGGGAGCTGCTGTGTCTGTTAGGAGACCAGTAGGTAGCAGTCTTTCTGCTATATATATATATAACCCTGGCTAAATCTATTCACACAGAAGTTCCCACTTAATTCAAGTAGGCAAACTAATTTCTAACTTCTCCACCTGTCCTGCTATGCCATGGGCAGGATTACTCTTGTGCTCTGTTTTTCATTTCATATTGCTGGTTATGCTTTGATCCACATCACGCTAATTGCAGATTCTGTGCTTTCTTTCCCAAAGAAAAAAATACTTTGCTTTCCAAAAGATAAGATCCATTATAAATGATCATATAGTATAAATTAGACATGAAAGCAATGACAGACATTTGGTGTTCAGTTTTATTCTGGAATAAGCTTACCAGGCTTTTAAAAGATAGGATTTCATTACTTTTTGATGAATCTGGAAAGCATATAGACTGGAAATTAATTGGACATTGTTAGTGTATAGCAATATAAAGCCCTGTGTTTTAACAGTCTACTGTATATCAGTTGTGTCACTGAAAAAGTAAATCTTTCTTCTCCGGATGTCTCTAGATATGTCTTCTGCAGTCACATGAGCTTGCAGATTTGCAATTCTGTGTTCCATCATTGTTAATGAAAGGGCTGTGACATGTGATATACTGCATGTTTTCTAGTTTTGTTCCCTCTTGTCATTTTAAACCCTCGAGTGAACAGAATTCTTATGAGCCGAGTTTATTGCTGGGGTCAGGACATCCTTTGATAATCCTGCTCTAGAGTTCAGTGCGCTAAGTACTAAATGCATTAATAACTCAAAAGCCACCTGGTTCTGTCAGAAACAATTACAGTTTGTCGTGTTGGTGAGGTGGAATGAAAATCTCCACCAGCTTTTATAGGTCAGGATAGTATCATCTGCCCAAAACCTTAGAAAGTTGTTGAGTTGAGCAACAAGTAACAGAAGTCATTTATTCAGAGCTCAGTTGGAATGGAAACTAAAAGATTTACTGGACTTCAACTCTATGTTGTTGCTTTACTTATTTTCCATTGTCCAATATCACATTTTGTAAAAAAAAAAACAACCAGTTCAGCATTTTCACCCATGACTCCTCTAATTTATTGGAAATAATTCGAGGGGACCCTTTTGTCTGTGCCCTTCTGCAGAAGGGTGATGTTTTCATGAATATGACCTGTGATGTTGTCTCAAGTAAATGCTCACAAAAATAGAGAATTGTTCATTCTTCCATGACCTAATTTGCAGTCGATACCATTTTTTTTCTGTTCTTTCCGTCTGTGTAACTTATATAGAAGTTTTGCAACGGAAAGAAAATGGAACACAGTTTTAATAATTAATGAAAACAGTTACTATTCCCATTCAAAATATTACAAATCTATTAAAACTACAATAAATGTTAAAATATCTGATAGTTGTGGCAGGTGCTTACATCTTCATTTGAAGAAATGCAGTTTCTAGTGTGAAGGGTTGACAGTGTTTACTGCATTTTTAATGTCTCCTCCTTGTTCCGCTCCTGTACAATTCCACAGCCTGTGAGTGCCATTCGCACACCTCTGAGTGCTATTATGATCCTGAAGTTGATCGCAGACGAGCAAGTTTAAATATCTATGGCAGATATGAAGGTGGAGGAGTTTGTATCAATTGCCAGGTACGAGACTCACTTTCCGCTTGGGGTGAATTTCCTTGTAACACTACAATCAGATTTCAGGAGGAATCACGACATCCAAGAAACAGATGCTTTTTGAACGTTTAGCATTTGACGTTCTGGCCCTCTTGGTTAAGACCCTCTTTCAGAGAGAGGGGTTAACCAGGGGGCAGCTGCACAGGTGGAGATGGGGTGGAGGTGGGATGAGTGTGACAACAATGTGAGCAGAGGAGGGTGTAAGAGTTCTATACTGTTCAGAATACAGAGAAAGAAGGAATGATTGAGATTTAAAACAGCTGGGTGAGACTGTCCTGTCTGTTGTTACCCCTCCTGAACTTCAGATAAGAACATCCATTTATTCCAAACCTCTTTAAAGATGATTGCCCCTCTTTCCTTTGGAATTCTTTGGAAATAAAGAGGATTACATAAAAAAAACCTTTTGCAAATGTACAGTTTTTGCTCTTATTTTCCTGAATGAGTTGGGAAATTTCTGAATGTACTGTAAATGTCCGTAACTCTGTGTTCTTAATGCATTTACTGTAGAACCTGAATATTTTTATAATGTAGGATTCTTAAAAATTTGAAACCTGAATTAAAGGACACAGAGCCTAAAATACTTCACCAATCATGCCGTACGCAGATGATGGGAATGGCATTAGATTATTGGAAAAAACAGTTTGTCATCTTGTCATCCTGTTGATATGAGTAAAATGGTAGACAGGTGACACAAACATAAATGTGACAGTAGTAACTGCAGAACTGCCCTACAGACTGTTAACATTGATAGATCCATGTCTGTGTCTGTGAATGTCCAGGAAGCAACAGTGCTAATTTGAATGTAAGTGATGTAACGGTTGTACTGTACTTTTACTGTCTTCAGCACAACACAGCTGGGATTAACTGTGAGCGCTGCAGGCAAGGCTACTACCGCCCATACGGAGTTCCCAAGGAGTCGCCCACTGGATGCATTCGTAAGCCACCGTGTTTTATTCCACCCCTGCTTTTGCTAGTGCTGCAATTGTGAATTTTTCCATTTGACTTTTAACACCGGGGTTTTTAAGATGCCGCATACCGCACTGTGTATCACGCATTCTCAGTGCTTCGTACTCCTTTGTTTTCTGGCTGTTTTCCTGGGTAGATTCAGGCGTAGCGAGACACCGTCTTCTCTAGAGGCTTGTAGAGGCATATAATTCTGTGAATAAGCAGGAATTTCTTTTTTACTTGAACACTGCTGGACTTACAAGGGTATAGTGTTGATGTGAAGCTGAAGCCGGCAGCAGGCGTTGGACTGTTTCCTGGCTGATGATGTTGGTGCTGTAGCGTGCAGGTGTGATCCCCGCTCCTCGGAGGGCTGTGAGGAGGGCTCCGGGCGATGCTCCTGCAAGCCCAACTTTTCCGGAGAGAACTGCGAGCGCTGCGCCGACGGGCACTACGGCTTCCCACAATGTATCCGTGAGTATTGTGGTGTTCGTGAGCCCGGTGACTGCTGGTCGCTGGGCCTGGGACTGGTTTTCTGTTTCAAATGGAAGGCCAGTGTTTGCTGAGGGGGTTCTATTGAGCAGGTTCTATTGAGGAGCTGCTTTGGTAACGTCAGGTAAGGGAATTTTAAGCACGCAAGAACAGATAGCTTGGTGTGAGAGGAGCCCATTTAGTTCATCCGTTTGCTAAAAACCAGAGAATGCAGAGGTTGTCTGAGAGCTCTGTAGGAGGATGATATTTTTAAATAAACGTGCCTTGTGTGCACTTTGAAACAATTTCTGACAAATTGCTGTGTTTTTCAGTTTGTTTTAATGATTGTTGAGAAAAAAGGTTATTTTTTTGCCTTCCCCGGTTGGGGTACTGTATATAGTATACAGTGTGGGTAACTAACAGCCCTTTCCAAGTCCCTTCTGTGTTCTTACTCAAAGCATGCATCTCAGCTCTTTGTCCACTTGTGCCTCACCTCCTCAAGAGTTCCTGAAACATGGTCCTATAAATCTCTGTTAGAAACTCTGGCCAAGACCCTCAGGTACAGTACTTCACAACTTCTGAACTATTTCCAATTTGCCCGGTCTCACAAAAAGTCTGGAACAGGTGCTGGCAGCTCAGTTACAGTCTCATCTTGCAACAAATGAACGCTTAAAACCAACTCAGTTAGGCTTTGGACAGAGAGATTTTTTGTATTAGTTTTTGTAATTTAATTTTAACTGTTGGATGAATATTTGCAACAGCTCTTTAAAGATTTGTGTTAAAATCAGTATGATGTGAATAATGTGATTTGCCAGGTGATCAATATTTGCGCTTCTAATAAATTCTTTGGCCTGAATTTTCGTTCTGATCCTGATCTTAGCCTGCATGCAGGACTTGACCTGTTGACCGTTGACTCGCAGGCAAGAGCTGGAGCTGCCTGTGGTTCACACTTTAAAAAATTCCACAGAGCAATCCCATTGCAAACAAAGCCTTTTCTAACAGCTCAGTGATGCATCAAAAAACAAACAGCTGTGCTTATCTGATTCAATCAGAAGTACCTGCAGGTAAAGCTATGCAGCTCCAGCCGTTCTGGAGATTATCACTGTAGTTTCCATGCACATGTTTTTAATCCCTTTAATCCTCAGTTACTTTCATTAGTTTGTGCTTTTGGTCAGCATTTCATAAATGTATTTGTACAGTTGTGCCCAAAAATACACTATACTGTATGCAAGTAAGCATATTTATTTTTTAGGAGCAAGTAATAGGTTTATTCCCTGCTGAAAAGAGAAGAAAGAAAACACAACATTTCGGCCGTGGAACCTTCTTCAGGTGTGGAGCCTGAAAAACGCTCCATAACCCGAAATGTTGTATTTTCCTTCTTCTCTTTTCAGCATGGAATAAACCTATTACTTGCTCCTTTGCAGCCTATGCATGCTAACGCAGTCACCCACCTGAAATATTTACTTTTTAGCCTTCTAAAATAGTGTGGAATTGAGAACGTTTGGTGTTGCTATTTTTGATGAAGAATATTTTTTTCAAAATATTTATTTTGCATTCAGGGTTATTTTATAATAAGAGGGCGGAGTCTTAAAAATAAAAAACAACACTCTTGTATTGAGTGTTGAATTGAACTGTACCAGGAATAAATTGTTATCTAAACTGAGTACAGTATATAAAACTTGATATCTGTTTTTACAGAGTATTGGGATTGGAAATATTGGTTAATTAAAATATGAAGGAAAACAAACAAGGACATTAGTTAAAAGTAGATTTAGAACTATGCGGAATCTCTCGGTTAATAATATTATTATCTAATAGGATTAAAACATTATTTTATATGACAATATAATATACAGTATATGTACCAATATTTTGCCATTCACACAGACACAGTGAAAAAAAGCAATACGAAAATCTTAAAAAGGTTGACATTTGAATCAGCGAAAACATAGAGGAGTTCGGAGATGCTTGAAGCCACTCACCTGTGTGTTTCACATCAGATATACTGTACCAGTTATACATTCAATCAAACAATAACTTACTGTGCATTTTTACTTTGTCTTCACTGTAGTTAATAGATCAGGCCTTTGCAGCTGTTGGCAGCTCAATAGGTGGCGCTCTTTCCTCTAGGGCAGAAGAGGAAAAACAGTGGTGTGCCTCAGGGATCTGTTTTGGGCCTGTTGCTCTTCCTCATTAAGTGCAGTGTTTTATTTAGCAAATTACTTATACTTGCAGATTATACAAAAATCGTAAGGGTGGCAAACAGCAGCAGGTGAATAAAATGTAATTGCTATTTATTTTATATTAAAAACAATCCACACAGGGAGTAAGAACATATCACATTTACATAACAAATCTCATGAAAGAAATCTGGGAATCAATTAGAGGTTTGTGCATAAAAATAAAAAAAGTTTGTGTATTCAGCAAAAAATTAAAATATAAATCCAATCAAGTTATGCAATTAAGTTTTATTATTCATATTTTAAAACACAGTTAAGAATGTTGTGTTCTGTTTTGGGTACCATACATCAAAAAGGATAGTAGAAAGAGTGTGAGGAAGAGTAACAAAATGGTTAAAGGTTAAAGGAGAGAAATTTGTTTGGTTTAGAAGGTTTTCTATGAAATCCAGCGGAGTATTGATTGGGCCAACCCAGGGGAGTATTCCAAACTCAGTCATAAAAGAGGAACATGGGGTTACAATTGCAAACTGAAATCAATTTTGGACAGAGAAAAGGACATGTTTTATTACTTAAGAAGTTGTGAGTATGTCGGATAGGCTTCCGTGTCAGGTTGATTAAGCACCAACTCCGGGTTTCTTTGGGATTTGGGTTAGGGTTAAAGTTAAGGCAAGGGAGAAAATTTGAGATTTGGTTAACTACAACTGAAGATGGGCCATATAGCCTTAACTTGCAATTTTTATACTCTTATTTATAAGACCTACCAACACAAGAAGAAAGCATGTTACCTCAAATTCTTATACTGTCCAGAGATCTTACAGTACTGTATGTTTGTTTACCATTGTTTAACCCTACAGTTTTATGCAGTGTCTGGTTCATTGCTCCAAGATGATAACTGCAGTGTAATTTGTATGGAAAGAACACATTTTAATAGTGGACAAATACATTTTATTGTTTTTTTTTTTCCAAATAGGATTTCCTGTTTTTCCGACAACCACTAAATCTCCTGCAGACCACATTGTGGGTAAGTGTATTGTACACTCGTGGTTTAGGGAAACTCTTAACTATAACTTTATATATGCAGTATTGAATCTTAGGACTGCTGCTTATTCCACAAAATCATTGGTTCAATGCCAGTGCTGATTGTCAGTGTGACCAGCACCTTGAAATTGGATATTACATCGGACATTTTGTTTTAATATCAGTAATCAAACAGGTTTGGTATGGAACAGCGGGACAGATGTGGATGTTAGACATCAATAATTTTTTAATTGATTTTGCATATAAGATACTACTACTAATAATAATGGCTTTGTATTTCTCCATCAAATTCTTTCTCTTATTTATTTGTGGGTCATAAAAGAAATAAAAATATTCTGGCTTTTGGAGGAGGTAAGGAGGTAAAGGAAGTGGGTTCAATAGCTGACCCCATGAGCTCTGTTTCAGTGCTTTGAATGTCAATCTTTTCCCCACACTGCTTAAGAAATGCAACTTTTTTGTTTTATTCCATTACCAAAGGGGTAATATAATCTTAAAGGGGTTCTGTTTGTGTGCACTATATTTTCCACTATTGCCGTTAAAAGTTTGTGTTACACTTCTCCTTAAACAATGGGGAAATATGAAATGTATTGAGAATTTCAAATTCTGGGTATTGAAAGCACTGATTTCACTTGTTTCTTGCCTTTAGACAGCAAGACTTGCCCTGCAAGGTACTTTGGACCACCCAACTGTCAACGTAAGAATAACCGCACAATGAGAAATTATCTTTTTAAAAACATGTCTGAACAGCAGAAATATTTGGTCAACATTGTTTTGATTGGCGTTTTTTCAAGAATTCCATATCAAATGCTGGGCCTCTCCTTTGTTTTGAATCTATACAGTGGGAGTTACAATCTACGTCATGCTTGTTTTTATTTCATTAAAGCAGATTGATATTGAACAATTATTAAACAGTTAGCCAGGAACTGTTTTGTCTTTTTTTTTGTTTCCAGAACAGTAGGATGTGGTCCAAATCATATTCTTTCTCAAATTATATTATAGGATTATATGTCAGTCTGTACCAGTTCTGGCTTTTTCACGTACATTTAGAATGTACAACATTTTTTTTTGTTATTCCCAAATATTTTGCAATAGCCAGTTGAATAGCCAGCAATTACAAGCTCCTCCCACCCAGCTTCAAGCCCTTCCCCCCACTCTCAAGCCCCTCCCCTTTAACTCATCACAGGGAACATTCCTGTGAGGGAGGATTTGCCCTGAGCAGTGGAGAGTCGCATCTCTGCAGGCACCCAGAAGGAACAGGGGGCACTTGCTTTGCCAGTTTCCTATTGATCCCATCCTGCTCTTGGGAGTGCTCACTGGGAGCACAGTTGTACCCACTTATTCCAGTCCGAATTGGCTATCGGCATGAACCAGTACTCATTTAGTTCAAAGTTTAGTTCAGCTCATTCAAAGCCATAAATCAGCACTCAAACCAGTCATGTGGGAGGCCCCTTGTAAGACTAATTTCTGATGTAATGAGTTGGTTAAGAAAACACTTTTCTTTCTGTAAGCTGTCATTGTGATGGGCTCTTCAGCCCTGTATTTATTTTTGTCCTAGCATTTCTGAATATACAGTACTGGAGGCTCATGTTGCCTTTTCACTCTTTTCTTGCTGCATGTGTCTTGTGTCATCTGGGGAATGCTGCCAGCTTGCCGGTGCAGCGGACCAGGGGCGGCAGATCAGTTCTGTGATATGCTGACGGGAGACTGCAGGTGTCGGACAGAATTTCAAGGCAAATACTGTGAACGCTGTGCTCCGGGGCATTTCAATTACCCTAACTGCCAAGGTGAAGAGATAATTTCTGTTTGATTTGACTGAAAATGGATACCTCCTCCTGTGGGATATTGCACAGAGACAGTTATGACCCTGTGATATACTGGGGGCTGTGAATTTGAACAAGTTTTGCAAGTCACATACTTAGATAGTGACTGTTGTGCTGTGGATGATGTCTCATCATTGACAGAACTTCTGAACAAGATGACTAATCTGCTCTCTCTAAGGACATTAGTTAATGGACCTTTCAACCTTGAGCAATTGCAGTTGCAATCAACTTTTTATACAAGGAGAAACGAATCCATGGACACTTCATAGTTGTGTTAGGGCAGGCTGCCCCTCTTCATTTCTCAATGATGCGATTTCAGGTCTGCACAACACATGAACCAGACCAGTCTGGAAAGAACCTCTGATGTGGAGAGCATAGTAACGTTCAATTAAGGTTGTAGAACAGAGAGAAAGAGCTCTTCATTTCACTTTGTCCATGGATTCATTTCAATTGAAAGCATTGGAATCCACATACATAAACATATTGGCATGTCAAAAGATCCTGACAGGATGGTGCCTCAGAACCTCAGCTTGCAAGAAGTGAGGTCTAGTGAAAAGTTGCTATGTGTCTTAGCACTGATTTTGTGGAGTGTTTTTACTGATAATGACTGGTAATGAGACATCAACCACTACCACCAAGGTCTAGGATCAATACAGTGGCAGCAATCACCACCTTCACAACTCACATTCTGTACCGTAGCTGCCGCTAACAGGTTTGTTTCTGGGATCCAGTTAAGACAGTTTTTTATGTTGCTGTCAGCTTCACATTTGTCTTGAGCCGGGCCTCAAGCAGTCGTTTCTGCCACGAGGGAAGTCAGGGTTTATAACATAGTTTAACAACTGGATATATCTTTTATTACCTAGTTCAGAAAAGGATGAAATAAGAGTTGCTAAAATTGGATTGTGGTTGTTAGGAAAATCCCATAGCTCCAAAGTGTTTTAGCTTTTAATGTAAGTTTATTTATCAAAAGCCGTCTGTGCGTGACAGGTTTCTTTTTTTTTGTGTTATTTCTCAGCATGTTTCTGCAACCCAGCTGGGTGCCAGCCCGAGGTGTGTGACGCCTCCGGACAGTGCCTGTGTCGCCCAGAGGTGGAGGGATCTCGGTGCGATCAGTGTCGCTCGGGGTACCATTCCTTCCCCGTCTGCCAAGGTCAGGCGTCTGCATCTCTCTTCACCTCATGGACTTGTGCTCAACACATGTTAGCAACAACAACAACAACAACAACAACAACAATAATAATAATAATAATTCCTTACACTTAAACAGTGCTTAGTGCTCCCCCGCCAGTGTGCAGCCCCACCTGGATGATGTGACACCAACCAGGGTGTGTCAGTACACTCCCCACACACCAGCTCTCAGTGAGGAGAAGAACAGAGTGATTAGTCTATCATTACATCTGCATATGCATGTACAGTATAGAAAAATATAGGCAAAAATGGAAATATTTAAACTGTTCAAAGAGAGAGAATTTATTTTTTGTGCATTTCCAACTTTTTTTCATTGCAGCTGAATATGAGTCTTCTTCTCTGTGCTCTTATTAGTGCTTTCTGCGACACAAAAGTAGAAAGTAAAAAGTAAAACTGAAGTAGCCATTCACCAAAAGAGAAAACAGAGTGAATCCTGTAAGCAAAACCAGGAATCAAATGGCGAAAGGTTTCCTGGGTAAATCGCAGTTAAGATGCAGATCTCCAGGTGGCTTCAATACAAGTAGAACTACAGTGCACAGTATAGTACAGTAGGGAAAACAATGGAGTTGGGTAAAAGTGAGGATATCAGATTCCATTTATTACAAAAAACTAAAAGTTACATCGCAGTGTGTTACAGTAGCTCTGCGCACTGATTGGATTGGTTGCTGTTTGCTGTGTGTTTAAAGCATGTAGCTGCGAAGGAGCTGGAGCAGTGGACCAGACCTGCGGTCCGAGGGGCCAGTGTAGATGTCACACCAACTACGCGGGGCTGAAATGTAACCAGTGTGCTCCAGGACACTATGGGTACCCCAGCTGTTACTGTGAGTTACTCTGTTCTGTTTTCAAACAGACCTCAAATGCCACCAATAAAATCAAGAGCAATAACTGTGTTATTCATTGAAAGCTTCGCTGAGCAGACACGGCGTTGAAGTGAATTCTAAAATAATGAGTCGCATAGACTCATTATTCACTCATGTAATGAGTTCCACAGTGTGGTGCCGCTCGTGAAGAATCACTTGTGCCCATGGTCTTCAGAAAGATTAAGGAGGCTTGAGTCGTCAGATCTCAGATTAAAGGCTGGACTGCACCCGTAACCTGGAGCTCGAACATTCAGTGCCTTATTGTAAACATCATGTGCTGTATGTGTGAGCGTGTATGCCTGCTCTGTATATAACTCACAGGTGCCAAAATATTTGAGAGCTTTGTGTACTGTAGTTAAGTGGAGGTTGTTTTTAGACAACGAAGTAACATTTAAATTGAGTTCACAGATCCCTTTTCATATCTTGTTTGTGTGACTACGATTAACGTACAGAAATAAGAACCTCACTTACAGTATGGTATTCTGTTCATGTAAATTTGCTTAACCCAGTATTAAATTCAGGCTCCCAGGCAATTAAAAGCTATCTAATGTAAGTGTATCTAGAATAATTGCCACATTAGATCCTGTTTTCCGCAGTGTCCTTGGCTGCAGACAGCTGAAGGTGTTGTGATTTGTGTCGCACTGATTCTTTCTAGTGGGTGAGAGGTACTGTCTGTGTGTCTCCCCTCAGCGTGTCAGTGCCACCCCGAAGGCTCGTCCCCGGCGCCGTGTGACCAGGTGTCGGGGCAGTGCTCCTGTCGCCCTGGCGTGGCCGGCCTGCGCTGTGACCGCTGCGCTGAGGGGGGGTTTGACTTCCCACTTTGCCAAGGTTCTGTCCCCCTGCCTTCCTGCCCCGCTGCCCCACTGTCCCTCTGTCCCCCCGCCCCGCTGCCCCGCTGCCCCAGCTGAGAGTCCCTGTCAGGCGAGAGCTTCACTGCACACAGTACAGACTGTATCTCTAAGGAAGAGACAGGGCACACCTGGCAGGAGCTGTCTTATCAGTTCTGAATCATGGTAGAATCATGGCGAAAATGGTAGAATTTTTCTGTTCTGCGTAATGCAGAGTATTTTCTCTCCCTCAGACTTCGTTTATATCAGTTCATATTAACTTTGTTGCAGTACCTATTGACTCAGAGTTTCCAAGAGAATAAAAAAGATTTAACTAGTTGAAGGTGGAACCACCTGCTGCCTTTTTGTTATCTGCTGTGTGCTTTCACATTTGTTTGCCTACGAATAAAAACAGGATTTTTAAATAGCTAACTGTTGTTGTTGCAGTACCCAACTGTAACCCAGCAGGCACTGAATTCAACGCACTGGACACGCATCCGGTAAGATTTCCTTCTCATTTGTGAAACAATTTACACGTGATAAACTCTCGTAGTAGGATATGACATCTGTTTGATTTTTCCCAGGGTTACAAGAAGAATCATGGAGTTGTTTTGGAGTATAGATCAAACAAAACATGGAAATTATTGGAATTGCAGAATTTCAGAACAACTTTATGTATTGTTACGTCCCAGTGTGTGTTCTGTGTGTGTTTTTTCTGTTATGTCCACACTGTTGACCCTTGATTGTTCTCCCTTCCCCATTGGCCCACCATTACACCACACTTTCAGTATGACGTCATCATCAATTAGCCCTCAGCCAATCAGAACACATCTTATTCACTATTTAACATGGAGGCTTTCAGAAAGAAGAGGCCTTTTGTTTGACTTCGGTCCCGTTTGGTTTTGGTTATTGCTTTGCTTCGCTCCTGGTTATTGCTTCGGCTTCGTTTGTTGGTTTGTTTTGCTTTGCTTTGTGTGTGTGTATTTTCGTATAGCTTCGGCTTTGTTGTTTTGTTGGATTTACGTTAGTTTCTTTGTACTTTCGTTTGTTTGTGTGTTCATCCTTCTTTGTCATTACCTTGCCCCAGTGTTACATGTTCAACGTTTGTGTTCTTTTTGTACCCTGCTCCTATTTATTACTCGTTTTCCCTTATTTGTCTTCCTGGTTCACTTGTGTTTTTGTGTGAACTTTTGTATATAAGGTTAGTTTAGGTTGTTGGGTACACTTACACACTTAGTTGATTTTGTATTAGTACGCTAGTTTAGTACGGGTGAGTGCCGTTTGTCTTGTATGGTTTTGGGTAGTCAGTGCAGATTAGCTAGGGTGTTGAAGACGCCGAAGACCGTGTGTTTCGGGTTTTCTTTTGTAGTCAGATTAGCTTTCCCTCACTGTCCTAGCCAGCTCCATTTTGTTTGTTATTTTCTTTCCTTTGGCACCACACTAGTTCCTTACCCTTATCATCCTTCCTAGTCCCTCACCAAAACCACCCTGCTTCCAAAAGAATTATCCTAAATGTTACACCCCTTTTCCCCTAGACACCTGGGGTCGTAACAGTATTGTAAAGCAAAGTACAAATTGCAACAATCCATTCTCTTCAAACGGTTTCTTGTATTCTAAATACAAAAAGGGAAGAATAGAATACAGGTATTATATTCTGTATTCAGAGAGTTATTCCCTCTCTGTAATGGTACTGCTGTGTTGTGTTATACAGTATGTTAGGAGTTTGTCAAAGCAGTCTTTCTGTTGGTGTAAATACGGGCTACAGCAGTTTATTATTCATCTTAAAATTTTAAGTTGGGAATGAGGAAAGTTAGATTAATTGTACAGATAATCAATTAAGTCTACTGTGACTGTGGAGAATACTGTGACCGCCAGACAGTAATTACTTAAATCAGAGTTTTTTTTTGGTGGGCTAAGAAGGAAATTAAGTAATGCAATCGTATTTTGCTTTTATATTGGCATTTATATTTAATAAGTGCTTTCCTTAAAATAATTTATATTTATTTTCTTACTTTAATTATAGCTTCAATTTATTTTAAACTGTCCGTTTAGTTCAATCACAGTAACATTAAACCTAAATATATTAGACATTTTAAAGTACTGTTTAAGCTTGTGTTGGTCAAAATAAGATGTAGCCTCTCTTAATCCAGGCCAGAATCACATTTCCAGACTCCAGTGTTCAGAATAAACTGGACCGATGCAGTGCCAGCATGAGGAGCGCTGTCTACTGACAGCTGCCAGACATTTCAGTCAGAGGACTCCAAACAAGAGCAGGAAAGCTTACTGCTGTGAATCTGATCATGTGTGTGAATGCAGTGTTTCCATCTTGTTTAAAAAACTTCTGTGGGTCTTTTGCTGTTTAAATTCTGTTTGGGTGAATGTGTATTTCTGAACCTGTGGTTGTAGTAGTCAGTTAGGCAATGCTAAATAAAGATGCAGTGATGTCATGACGACCTCGACCTCTCTTTCACCAGGGGTCTTGCCAGTGTCTGCCAGATGTTGAAGGCCCTTTCTGTGACAGGTGTAAACCCCTGTACTGGAACTTAGCTCAGGAGAACCCCAATGGGTGCATAGGTAAGAAAATCCACAGACATTGGAATCCTGGTACATACATTATAGCGCTACGGTGTGCTTTTACCTGCTGTATCTGCATGCTGTTGAAGCTGTTGATCCTGATGGATACTGTGTCATGTGCTGCAGCCAAACTGCCCCAAAGGGAAATTAATAGGGCTGGAGTATTATGAATTATTTTTTCCATAGGTGACTTGATTTGAACTTCAGCCATACTGTATTTGTTATAAGAACACGGAAAATTATTTTTTTTTTTTGTAGCTAATTGATCAAAGGATCTCATCCAGCCATCTCTTGAAAGAAACAAAGGGATTGGCTTTAACAACATTGGCTAAGTAGTTTGTTCCAGACGGGAGCTGAGATAGCCGGGGTACAGTTTATACTTGAGATTACACATAGGGCTCCATTTCTGACCTGTGCTTCAGTGTCATTCTGAGTTCCACTGCCTTCACATTGAGCACTACTCTACACTAGTGCAATATTGAACAGACATTCACAATAGAATCAAGAAACACAAGCACCTGAATAGGGACTTGAACCCTGGACTCTCAGATTAAAAGACTGATGCTCTACCGACTGTGCTATCCGGGCTTTCACTGGTGCTATATTGAATGAGCTTTGAGCTCTGAGCTGGATTTGCTGCCCTTCCTGTTTAGACCAGACTAGCAGATCACAGTACATTCACCTCAGTGCTGGTTAAACCAGTGCCACCCCTGGGGGAACTGACATACCAGATTTAATTAGCTCAGGACAAACAATGACATGTGCAGGAGAAAGGCTCTGTCAGTATTTGCTTTACCTCTTTATGATTTGTGCCAAAACACTCAGAGCACCTATTATGTATATGTATCATATTAAAATATGATAAAAATGTTTTTTTTCTTTGACATTACACATAGACCTTGGTGGGGGGCATGCAAGAATGAAGGACAGAATCAGTGCCAACTGCAGGCAGTGAAAGACTGGAAAGTCACGCAATCCGCTAGAACGTTATGTTATTGGAAACATCTGGCCGTCCTACGAATATGTTTTCTAACCCTAAGTGTATAAGGATGCTTACTGTTAGCAGGATTACGTTTAACTTTGGCAGCCACATTTTAAAAACTGATATTATTGGGCAGAATGCTGACTTTTTTAACTTGTGATCGACAATAATTTCACCTTTTATGCCTTCTTTGTGATAACTAGTTTTTAATCTACCAGACCCTCATTCTGTCAGTGCACTCTCCCCTGTTCACACTGTGCTGTCAGAGGGCACATGTTTCTTTTTTAGTAGTTCAAGTAGGGAGCTGCGTCAGCATGTGTAGGCTGCTGAAAAGAGAAGAAAAGAAACACAACCTTTCAGCTGTGTGATTCTGGTGATTTTGCTTTCTGTCTAAAGACAGCTGATTAAAAACCAACCATTAGAAGCCTCTGCTTCCTGCTTTTTTAAATAGTTGCTTTGCAGTGACTGGTCAGGTGACCGAGGGTAGTGGGTCATTCTCCAGAGAATTCTGGGATATGTGGTTCACACAAAGGCTGCCATCTTGTCTGAACTTGCTGTGTCATCACAGGAGTTAACTACTGGTTAATTTAAAATTACATTTAAACATAGCTTTGATCCACCAGCCAGTCACAACTTAGAGACTCAGTACTTGATGACAGCTTTTCAAATGTGGAACATCAAATCCCGAATTTGTAATTTGTAGTTTATGTTGCAGTTTTTAATCTGGGCCTTAATCAACAATAAGAATTAAAATAAAAGGAAAAGTACAGTTTGCTAATATGTGTACAGTGAGTATTTATATAGTCCTATTTTTTTTTTATGGGACTTAAAGGGTGAGATAACCTTGTCTATCTCTGCCCAGTCAAGGAAGCAGAGCTCAAATCAGATCTTTAAGGCTCCAGCTCATGTGTCGAGGAATGTTTTATCTTGAGTCAGAAAATGTGTTCAGTGTTCCTGAAGGAATAATAATAATAACAACAATGGACAGAACATTGTGCAGTGGTCAGCATTGCTGCCTCGCACGCTGGTTCCCTGCGTTCAAATCCTTGGGTCCTGTCTTTATGGGGTTTGTATGTCCTCCCAGTCTTCGTGTGATATTCCACTAAAAGCTCATGTTTCCTCCTACAGCCCAAAGACCTACTGAGTTGTTATCTGGCCCAGGAGTGAGTGTGTGCGTGTCTGTGTGATAGACTGGTGTCCCGTCCATCCAGCGTGTATCCTGCCTTGTGCCCATTGCTTACTGGAACAGGCTCTGGCTCCTCTCTGAGAACACTTTGGATAAAGCGGCTAGAAATTGGATGATGATCATAAGGAGGAACACAAGTACTCCAGTCCCTTACACTTAACTTTGATCTTTAGTTGTGTTAAGCATCGTGGTGCCTCATCAGAGAGAGGACTGGTGTTTCTCTCATCACAGCACATTCTCTGCCTTTTTTTAGCCAAGCTTCCCATTCTCAAGGGTTTGATCTCCTTTCCTTCCTGTCTTTTGCAGAGTGTCAGTGTGAAGTCAAGGGCACAGTCAGCGGCATTGGAGAGTGTCAACAGGTGAGCTGAATCTCTCCCAGCTGGTTTGGTCCTTAACTCTGGTGCCGAGTAGCGGATTGTAGTCTGGAAACAGCTAAATGCCATCAACCAAAAATAATTATCTTGAATGTCCGTCCCAACGTCTTATCTGTTGAATAATGTTCACAGTACTACAGTGGTGTATTTTGTTCATGAATAAATTGCTGGTTTATATTAGCCCTGTGCTTTGACAACGAACTTCTGAAGCTTTTGAGAGTCTTGCCCTTGGCAGATTCTGGCTCTGAGCAAAATTTAAATTGATTTCATGACTTTCCCTGCCCATCTTATACAGTAGATTAACTCGAAAATCTGCTTGAAAAAGAGTTTAATTCCCGTGGCAGCACAGCAACAAAAATAAAAATACAATCAATAATGCCTATTAAATCTATTAAGACTCACATGCAGATATCCAGTTATTGTCCTTTGTTTGGTAGAAATACTGTAGGTCCTTACTTCTGTGTGTGACACAGTCATGGTGGGAGTGTACAGTACCTGTATATGTTGAATGTGGAGATCTGCTTTTAGGGTAGATAGGAGTTTAATTTTGAAGCACCAAACTTCATTTTAATTTTTATTTGTTCTGTATGTCCAGATCAGGCGGTTAATTTATTTCTATGCCGCTACACATTTTCTTGAATTTATTAAAATAACCATAACTTCAGCTTCTGTGCTCTTTGGAAACACTCTTTATTGGGACTTAAATTTGTTCCAGCAAAGCGGCGAGTGTTACTGCAAGCCCAATACCTGCAGCCACACCTGTAATGCTTGTAAGGACGGATACTTCAACTTGCAGAAAAGCAGCTATTTTGGATGTCAAGGTGGGTGTGTTAATACTGATCTCCGAATGCCAGGACTTTGTTCTAGAAATAAATAATTAATGTTGTGAAACTTTGATTATAGCATAATGAGAGAAAATGTGAATTACGTTTGATACGCAAAACCTAGAGAGAAGCTGTTCAGAGATGGAGGCTGGAGAGGTAGGAGGCATTTATTAGACATGGAATGACTTGAAGATAATTAATTTATTTTGGAAGTATTTTGAATAGTACTATTTAATCCTTTTTTAAACACATGTTTGTAGCAGTTCTGAAAAAACAATACCTTTCTTGTACTGGAATTAAATAACTTTGATGGGTTTCGCTGTCTAGAGGCAGAGCAGTGCAAAGCCAGTGCAGTGTGATTCACTAGTAGACGTTTCCAGAGAAGGGGAGTCGGTCCTACAGCAGGATATTTGTAATGATACAGTGTCTCTCGATGAACAACACCTCTGCTGTTCCTGTTGAAAGGCTGCCAGTGTGATGTTGGAGGCTCAGTCAGCCATGCTTGCGATGAGAGGTCTGGACAGTGCCAGTGTCGGCCACATGTGGTGGGACGCACCTGCAACCAGTAAGGACAGAAAAATACTCTGGTGTAGTATTCCGGAGCATGCATATATATATATCATCTTTCTTTTAGTATGAATGCATATTCATTATCCATTCAGTTGCACTAAAGACAGTATATAAGTCTGTAGAGGTCAACCAATAATGTTTTGGGATCTATTCAGTGATCTGTTGATTGGTATAGCACCCCTTGCATGTATTCAGGTGTTTCATGTGGTTTTAATGTAATTTCTTCTTTTAACATGCTGAAATCTTCAATGCCCAATCATTGACACACAGAAATCCAGTGCTCAGAGGAGAAAAGAACAAGCTGTCAGCGTGAATGTAAACTACAGCTTTCAGAGATAATCGGAATGAGTTCTGCCTTTAATGCCATTGGCAAATTTATTAATCCTGTTAAATGAAGTTACTGAAATATGGTTTGGACTCTCTGAATGCATTATTAAACCTTGGCAACTTTTTTTTTCAATGTGATAGTGGATTTTTGCTGACATGTGGTCCTGGAAACTGGAGGAGATTCTCAAAAATCCTAGAGAATCATGCTGAGGAATCATTGAAGGAGTTTAAAATAAGGAGTGAATAAGAAATGAGTGACACAAAGCTGCTCTGATCAGCCTGATCAATTATAGTACCTACTAGTCCTGAGCAGTAGAGGTGTCTCCCTAACAAAGTTAAAAAATACTTGATTACTTTAGTTAATTTAGTTTATACATGTAGGTAGGAAAGAAAGAGAAATCAAAGATCAAATTATTAAGATAAGATCACTTTATTGGCCATATACAATTTCTTGCATTAGGAATTCATCTTTTGCATACCCCATCTTGCTCTCCATATGACGCCCAGACAGGGAGAGAAGCTTGGGGTCAGAGCGCAGGGTCAGCCTGGAGCAGCTGGGGTTAAGGGCCTTGCTCAGGGGCCCAATGGAGTAGGATTCCTCTGCCGGCCCCGGGATACAAACCGGCAACCTTCCTGCCACAGGCGCAGATCCTGAGCCACAGTGCCACCGCTCCGCCCAGTTAGAGATTCATAAAGCTAGAGTTTTAAAGTCAGAGATGAGATATTAAGGCTAAAGAGATTCTGACAGTTTCACACCGCAATGCAGCAGATTCCAAGAGTCTTGCACTGGTTCAAACCTCAGCCTTCACACACCCTTTACCCATTAATTTACGCGTTACATGTTGTGTGACTGTATACCACAGGGTTATCCCTTGACCCTGTTCCTTTCCTCTAGGAGGGTGTGAGGAGGGCGATGGCGCTGTATTATATATTTGACTTAGTGTTCTAACATTGTCAACAGCAGGAGTAAGATTCAGGGATCCTTCTAGCCAGGGAAGGTGCTGGAAGTCTACCTCTTGTTCCTCAAGTCAACTTACACTTTCATTGAAACTGTCTACTCATCTGACAGAGGACTCCTAGCATTATGATCACTGACAATTGTGTGCTAATGGCAATTTGCCTTTTTTAAAAAAGAAAAACTACACAGAAAAAGTTCAGCATCTTTGAAATTGCAGTGCATCTAGATTTTTTTTAATGACCCCTCTAGATACATTCAATTTCCATTTGATAAAAAAGTGCAACACAAAAGCATGGTAATCCATTGCAGCTTCTAAAAGATTAATAATGATTCAGTTTTAGAAAAATACTCCACTTATTTTGATCAATACATTATATATATATATTCCTATACAACAAGGTGGGTGACAAGTAGAAGGAATTCATATGGGATCTGTTATTTAAAGGTTTATTTTCTAAAAACATTGAAAATATGAGAGGGTTTCCAAATGTCATCACAGGATGGCACAGGACTGGGGAAATATAGCAGATAACAGAGCTGTGGTACTTAATGGATTGACTTCACCGCCCTGCAGTTTTACAGAGTTGTGCATTCCTGCACACGGTTATTTCATCAAATAAAAAAGCACTGACGCATTGCAGTCTGTGACACTATGATGTTTACC